CAACACTACAGAGATGTCCCAGAACAACACTACAAAGATGTCCCAGAACAACACTACAGTGGTGTCCCAGAAAAACACTACAGTGGTGTCCCAGAACAACACTACATAGATGTCCCAGAACAACACTACAGAGATGTCCCAGAACAACACTACAGAGATGTCCCAGAACAACACTACAGTGGTGTCTCAGAACAACACTACAGAAATGTCCCAGAACAACACTACAGTGGTGTCTCAGAACAACACTACAGAGATGTCCCAGAACAACACTACAGTGGTGTCTCAGAACAACACTACAGAGATGTCCCAGAACAACACTACAGTGGTGTCCCAGAACAACACTACAGAGGTGTCCCAGAACAACACTACAGAGGTGTCCCAGAACAACACTACAGAGATGTCCCAGAACAACACTACAGTTGAAAGACAATCATTGTTGGCCTAAACAGAGGCTGATGCTAGCAAGAATGCAGAGTTTGCACTTCAGAACAGGGGAGCCCTAAAGTGTCAATGGAGCACAAACAGGATCTAAGAAACATGAGACACTGCTTTTATCTGTGTCAAAACGAGTCAATAGCACCAGAGAACAGTGAACTGTTGGAACATTTAAACATAGTTAGACGGACCAACCCTCTTGCCCATGCACCTTGGGGTCTGATTGATGATTTCATGTTGGAACACGATGTTCAGAGCGGGAGTCTCGTATCTATTGTGGGAAAATAACTTTCAGTCACACTCACCTCACTCTGAGCTTCCACAGCAAAAAGACCACGCCTATACTGTGGAGTAAGGAAATAAAGACACCAAAGAAGAAACAAAAAGAACAAATACCAAAGGAAGAAAAAACACACTCAGACAACCAAGAAATTGAAAGAATCCATTGGAGCTCTCGAACACAACTGTACCTGAGGAAAACTAGAGTTTGACAAAAACAAAACTAAGGACTCAAATAGCTTAAAAAGGAAAGAAAGATTGGACCAGATGGCCACGCCAGAAGATGCCAGCATCATTTAACTAGAACAGACTGGTCTGACTGACCCAATGGCCTAATTCCTAGTGAATCATTCTCAAATATAATATTTATTTATAAATACTCAACATATAGTACATGAAGAACACACAACAAATGCATTAAGAACACACAACATATACATGAAGAACCCACAATCTTACATGTAGAACACACAATATTACATGAAGAACACACAGCCACAGAAAGTGTCTAATTTAATCAACGCAAAGGATTTTTTCAGAGAATTAGCTTTGACGCCAGCTAGGACCCAATAATCACTCTCCGTTGCTTAGAGAGAGAAAACATGGAAGTACATTCGGATATGACCATGTGGAACATCCTTCAAGGGCAAAGGGTGAATTATTCCAGTTGCCCCAAGGGAGATATAGACAGACACTCCACAGAGTCCATCACTTCACAGGTGTTTCGTTAGAAGTGCCACGGCCACACCCACGCTAGCACACCTGGGGAAGACTGATGACATGAGGTCATCCCTTTTATAACCCTAACCCTACCCTGGGCTGACCTTACAGATCATTGACTGTCTGAACTGTGGGGCTACACCAGCAAAGATGGAAGCAGAGTGAAAAGCAGCACAGATAAAATAAGACAGACGGAAAGGTGAGAAGAGGGCGAAGGTAAAAGTTAGAAATAAATTAAAAACAAAGGAAAAGGGATGAGGCAGAAATAAAAAGTGAGAAAGATTATGGAGTCTGTGAACTATTTCCTAAGAGAACCGAAACCAAACTGAGACGGTTGAAGTACAGTGAGAGCTGCCATTCTACCAGGGTGTCAGCAGACCGTCTCGTGGTGGTGATCAGTGAAGATTGTAGTGGAACAGCAAGGTTCCCTTAGGGTGACACCAGCACGGGGACAGAGGGACAGAATCCGGTGTGGGAGGGAACCGTTATGATCAATTATCTTACTAGTTCACTGACCGGCAAGTTTTTGTGCAGACCTAAGTGTTCTGTACAGTGAACACTGGGTGACAGCATTTTGCTTCTTTCTGTAATGGGAGCAATGTTAAAAAAAACAGCAGCACTACACTCTGTCTATAAATCAGAGGTCAAGCGAAGAACTGTATGACACAGTGGGTGACCTCTAACCTTTAACCCCGAAGGCAAGTGCATCTCAATCACTTCCACACTCTCTCATCAGCCAAGACAAACAAAAGACAATATTTTTGAAAACACATTTCTTAAAGGAAATTCTTTATTTCGTAACCCCTAACAAACACCATGGTGAACACAAGAGCTGAGGAACAATGTCAGTTACCTTAGCAACATGTCCTCGTCGTTGAAGCATTTTAACAGTAAAGGGCGCTTAATTTCTTAAAGCTCTAACGTTCCCTCTAACTAATACATCTTTACCTGGTTTACTGAGAGGATGTCTGCTGTTATGAGTCACTTTCCCCATACAGACACAAAGGAAACTCAGAGACATTCACAAATAGAAGTATTCCTTCCTAGATTAGAGGCTTTATCTTATTTTCCATGAGCAATATAAAAACCAGGCTTTGACTATCTAACGCTAAACCCACATAAAACATGAGTCAGTTCAGATCAATGACTGTGTGACTAGACAGCCCAACCTCTACTGAGAACTAATAATAGTCTCAGCTGCACATCATTTCCCTTCAAAAGTTCCCTGAAGACAATTGAGATTCGGCTCTCTGGCAAACCCAATATGGTCACACAAATCAAACAGGCACTAACTAATAGCAGCAGACCCTTCTTCCAGAGATGACATACTTGGTAGCAGTCCAGGTCTGTATCACAGTCCATAGCCAGAACCAGCGAACACACGATTGATAATCAGAAAGAGATTGAATGGATGGGAAAGAGAACAAACAGAAAGGAGATCGATGCGAGAGGCAGTACATAAAAAGGGGAGATTGGTTGGTGGAGAATGCAGTGAAACGCAACAAACAACAGCAAAGACAGGACGACCCACAGGAATGGAACACTGGCTTTGACCCACTGAAAAAAGGACCACACAACTACACACAAAGTCCATTCAAAAGGAAAATAGACAAGTTGCCTAACATCTTGTCACAAAACTGGTGCGCACAGAGGATGTTCTGAACAATGCATCAATATCAACAGGATGTGGAGAATCATTGGTTGCTTGTTAATATCCCTTCTTTTGAAAAGTTTTGTCTATTACGTTAAATAGTCTACTACTTGGCTACAACAAGCAGCAAATGTTTAAAGTATTTAAGATTTGCTGATTAATTCTAGTTTACATTTTGTGTAATTAAATGATTCAAATTAATTATTGAATACTTTTTTTCTAAACAAGCACCCCTATTTGCTCCAGAATTGTGGACACTCAACAGTTTCCTGTTTGATCTTGAAGGGACATTATGTCAAATGTTTCAATAGATGAAAATGTCAATACTGCAACTGCGGTAATGGAGGAATAAAAGTGTTAAACATCTTCTCGCCAAAATATGCGTGCATTCATTAGTGCATCCTATAACACAAAAGGCACAATAACCTGTGTTGGGGCAATCTCCCTTTCTTCCATCTGCTTTACTGATATGGAAGCATATCGTGGACTAAATTATAATGACCATGCAATCTCAAATAGCATTAACATTTTCAAAGAATGACCCTTTTTTAGTGTACTTAATTCAAATGAAAAAGCTATTTAAAAATGTGAATTTTTATTTTCAAAGAATTTTTATTTTTCAAAGAATGCATACTCAGAAGGCGGGACCATAACGAGCCAAACCATAACCGTTACAATCGTACGGTAAAATGGCAACTACAGAGCTAGTGCAAGCCAAGGAATGTAAGAATGCGCAGATCATAGCATTCAAAGCCTGTGAAATTGTATTCAGGCCAGCTCTAGCAACTTGTGACGTCAGAAAAATGTGTTTTGGTACTCTTTGGAATATTACATGATTTTGTGCTCACTACATCTTAGCCTTTCTAATGCATCTTTTTAAAATACAAAAATGAAAAATAATCGGTAACGTTAGCGGGTCATCGGCCAGAAGAATCAAGAAATTATCGGTTATCGTATTGGTTGGAAAATGTGATTATCATGCATACATATTATTATACATTGTTACCATCTCTTCAAAACATTGACAGCCCCAGCGGAGGAAGGAAACAACTACTTTCAGGTATATATAAACATATATAAACATATATAAACATATATATAAAACATATATATACATATATATAAAAATATATATAAACATATATATATATATATAAACATATATAAACATATATAAACATATATATACATATATAAACATATATAAACATATATAAACATATATATACATATATAAACATATATAAACATATATAAACATATATAAACATATATATACATATATAAACATATATAAACATATATAAATATATCAGAGTGACATAACTGATTGAAATGCAACCAGGGCTGGGCGCTAACTAGCTAGTCCTTCCATTAGCACTGCCCCTGTTATTATTATTATTATATGGATTTAACATATTCCTATTCTCAACATATTTTATTTCATAGGATAATGAAGTATAATCAACCAGGTTTATAGATAATGTGAAGTGCTAGTCAAGACTGTGAGGCAAATCAGTTTGCCCTGACTCTAAAACGATGCTGATCAATTAGCTAACTCATTGTTAGCCATCTCTAGTTCGAATTCAATGGATGTGAAATGCTTAAACAATTCAAAGCTACCCAAAAAAGTCCATATTTGTTTTGACATTGATAATAGATGATTTGCTCGGCAAAAAAGTTTGTTGAAGAAAATCGTGCTGGTTTAAAGGACGCTAAACCTGGCCCTGTCCTCTCAGTTGGTAAACTATGCGCCAGGTAGCTCTTTAGCTCAGTTTGTAGAGTATGGTACCTTCCACACCAAGGGTTGTGTTGTCATGTGAACCGGTAAATAAAATGTATGCACTATTATTTGATTTTTTATATAACCAGGTAAGCTGTTTGAGAACAAATTGTCATTAACAATGGCGACCTGGGGAGAAGCTGGGGATTGAACCAAGAACATCATACACACAGAGCATGCACTCTACAACTGAGATACCAACTCCTCCAATAGGAACCCAGGACATCATACATACAGAGCATGCACTCTACTACTGAGATACCAACTCCTCCAATAGGAACCCAGGACATCATATATACAGAGCATGCACTCTACCACTGAGATACCAACTCCTCCAATAGGAACCCAGGACATCATACATACAGAGCATGCACTCTACCACTGAGATACCAACTCCTCCAAATATTAATATTAATTAATATGCCAAATTGCCTATGGGGCCATGTGGCTGCTCTTATAGAACTTTATGGGTTAAGAATCAAGTTATGGAATTATGAAATGTACCTGCAACACCACCAGCTTGAGCAGGCACGAATAAACCAAAGAAGCACGCCTGATAAAATGATGAAAGCTACAATAAAAGTGATAAACGCCTAGTGGCCCGAGGACACAGATTAGGAGGAGCTACGCGTGGAACATTGTGATCTGTGACAAGCTTTAATGTGGTGCTCTATGTGGTGCTCTATGTGGTGCTCTATGTGGTACTCTGTGGTGCTCTATGTGGTGCTCTATGTAGTTCTCTATGTGGTGCTCTGTGTGGTGCTCTATGTGGTGCTCTATGTGGTGCTCTATGTGGTGCTCTGTGGTGCTCAATGTGGTGCTCTGTGGTGCTCTGTGGTGCTCAATGTGGTGCTCTGTGTGGCGCTCTATGTGGTGCTCAATGTGGTGCTCTGTGGTGCTCAGTGTGGTGCTCTGTGGTGCTCAATGTGGTGCTCAATGTGGTGCTCTGTGTGGCGCTTTATGTGGTGCTCTGTGGTGCTCAATGTGGTGCTCTATGTGGTGCTCTGTGGTGCTCAATGTGGTGCTCTGTGGTGCTCAATGTAGTGCTCTGTGTGGCGCTCTATGGGGTGCTCTGTGGTGCTCAATGTGGTGCTCTGTGGTGCTCAGTGTGGTGCTCTGTGGTGCTCAATGTGGTGCTCTGTGGTGCTCAATGTGGTGCTCTATGTGGTGCTCCTAGATTCTGTCCGGACGCATAAACGGGAAAGAGCCGCTCTGCAAACGCAAGCAGTTCAGTAACGATCAGTCTGAACCCAACATTATTTAAGCACATTTACACTAGAGAGGGATGAAATTGAATGCGGCCAACTGAACACATTGAAGGGGTTTACACCTGAGATGTCCCGGGTTTAGTTCGGAACCATGCATGTACATGTGTAAATGCCTCCATATCGAGGAATAAACTTTATAACCCGCTATAACCCGTTACAACCAGCTATAACCGGACGCACACATGCATTAACTTAACATTTCTGTTAACCATGCATGCATGCATGCATCCCGTTTCTGAATAATGTGTTCCGTTGCATTTCAGCTCACCTGACTACCTACTCACCTATTCTCTTGTATCATAATAATCCACCCGGTATTAACACATCAATTAGACCAACTGCAGGCTGTATATCAGGCTATTTATCCACTATCACTTCTGTCTTCAGATAATCTTCTCTTCTGCATTAAACTTCATGCATAAACTTCATGCAGGGTCCATGTAGCGCATTTCATTCCCCGCTAGATAATATCCAGAGTTTAAAGTGCAGTAGCCCAATTTAAGTCCAGACTTGTTCGGGTGCCTGAAGGGGAGTCCAATGCATTCTAGTGTTCCTGCAATCTCACTTTCTCTCCTTCACAGTTCACACGCTTTATCCGCCCTCATCAGCCAATGGACCAATGACCTTAGTTCCTCAAATGTTTCTCGCTACCTTTTCAGGTGGAGTTTAAAACACTTATTTTTAAATAATAATACATGGAGCACCTTCCCAACAGACATGTGATTATGTTTGAAGGATGCAATAAAGATAAAAAATGTTTGACATGTTGAGAGAACTGAATATGCACAGAATCAGCCAATGAATTCATCATGCTTCCTCTGGCAACCTGTTTAACATATAATCAATACATATTTGATATCAACAATTCGATTATTAGCTTGCCTTAATTTGCATGCTAACTACACTTACATGGCAAGACTGGGACGTTCAGGCATGAAGATGAGGCACTAATTATCTATTTTTAAGCAGGCCAAAGAAGTGCCCAGTTGACAGACCATATGCATGTAGGAGCACATCAGACGTGGGTGAAATGCCATTACTGCCTCAACATGCTGTATAGAGTGTGTTCTCTTAAAAAAAGCTACAATATTTGAAAACAGTATATTGACGATTCAAAAAAGGTGAACACATGTTTAAGATAACTTCTTTATTCTTGTATGCCCTATGCATCCCAAGCTTTGAGACAGAACATTTGAACACTGTAAGGAGTAGTTTAAAGGGTGTGTGTGTGAGTGTGTGTGTGTGTGTGTGTGTGTGTGTGTGTGTGTGTGTGTGTGTGTGTGTGTGTGTGTGTGTGTGTGTGTGTGTGTGTGTGTGTCACCATATTAGTGAGAACCCAAAATCCCTGCAAGAATTGTCTGGTTAAGGAAAAGCTACAGTTGGGTTTAGAATAAAGGTCAGAACCCCCCAGGTTGTAATACAGAGCCCCATTCACCCGAAGAAAGGGGGTTCATCTCTGTATTCACCGTTCTTACTGCCTATCTCCTGTGTTAGGTATTTAATTATGTGTAATTAATAAATATATATATATCATCAGATCTATAGATCAATACATGACTTAATGATGATGGTGAGCACATACAGCATATTACACTGAGACACATGTCTTCTGTCTTCAATCCAAACATTATATGTGGCCTCTTTCTTTAATTTCCATAGTTTTGGAGATACAAACAGTTGGACTGCAGATGTACTGAGTGCGATGTGTCATGTTGTAAATCAGCCATTCAAAGATATAATCTGGAGGCATGATGTTGTTATCTGAATGGAGCCAGGATGTTTAGGAACCCAATACTAATCCACCATCCAGGGTGAGGGAAGTGACCGGGGCAGGAGGAGGAGGAACTGACTCCATATAGACAAAAATAGGACTATCAGGAAACGATTTCCAGTCATAGGTGAGTAGGTCCCCACTGATTTAGTAATAATATTGTGTTGGGGATTATATTTTATTTTTTTACGGTCCCCACTGATTTAGTAATGAAGCCCTTTTTACACCAAGTTGTCACAAAGTGCTTTTACAAACACCATGCTCGAACCCGAAATTCTTACAAATAATTATTACGGTATCTGAAGAAACATGCGCGAGCAAAATAAAAACCGGTGCCGTTAAGAGTGTGTCTGCTAAATTTTCATTTCCCCAACTTCTGCAAGTTCGAGAAAAGCCTTTAATGGATGCAAATGCGGGACCCTGAGGGAAACATCAGCTTCAGAGACGTGGTTTCATCAAACCAAATACACGCACGTTCAATGCAAATCATCAACTCTGAATACTCAGCCAATTTTGTAACATAATATTAAGGGGATTACAGCTCAGTATGTTAACACTTACTACCTGGCAAACGTTAACTATGTGAAATGCATAGTTTACATAAATAGTATTGTGCACACCATTCACAGCTGAGCCAATTATTTTCCCTCCATGTTTAATGATGGAATCTGTATTGCATGTGTTCTTTCAAATTCTGCCTCTTCCCTGACCCCCCTCTCATTGACAGATGTCTTAATTCTCCCACGTTCTCTTTACAAATTGCACATGGGCTACTATACAAACCTTTCCTCGTGGTCCGCAGGTGTGTTTTTGTACATAGGGGTCAGGTGGGGACTGAGGTGAAAGGATAGGGTGCCAAAACAGACATAACAGTTTTTACAGGCTCGTTGATACAGGCCAGTTATCATAACACCTCCCACTCTGACAGCGACGTGATGTGTGAAAGATTGTGTGTGTTTCACGTCAATGTTTCACGTCAATGTTTCACGTCCATGTCAGGAATAAATGTGTGTTTGCATTCCTGTGACAGGGAGCCAATCCTACCAACACACAGTGTTTGACATGACTCTCCAGCTTAGGGGTTCTCCTGATCCCTGTGTTCAGCTTGTTCTAAATCCTGGATGTCTCGAGAAACACTCCGATTCTGGGAGGTACTGGGTCCTTAAAACGGTTGGAATTCCTGGTCTGTCTTGTCAGGTAGTAAGGGTGGATGGAAGAGCCGAGGTACTCCAGGTAGACCTGAAGTGGAGAACATCCCCCACAACTCATTGTAATCCTGAAACCGTTGCCTGCAGCTCTTTCTCCAAAATACCACCTGTCCAGGTGACTAACGACACAGTGACCCTTCAAGTCTTTCCTCCAGCTCTGACCCTGTCAGGGAGTTTTTCCTAGCCACATTCTTGAGGAAAACCCCCCGATTGGATTTAGGAAGAAACCTATCGAGGAACCAGGCTCTGAGGGGTGGCCAGTCTTCTTCTAGCTGTGCTGGGTGAACATATGATAATAATGAAATATTTTTTTTAAATGCAGAGAGTCTAATAAAATAGTCCAGGTCAAATGCAGACAAAAATGGAGGATTAACATTCACCTGTCGGTTATGTCGAATACAATATCAAATCCAGGCTGAAAGATACAGAGTGAACACATGCTTTAAGAGAACAGCATTTATTGGGGCAAAAACAAGTGTATTCATCCAAAAAGTAAAATGCCTTTGTTTTGAAACGTGTGTGATGTTTAGAATTTAAGATATTTTCAAATTTGTAATTTATTACATCTTTACTTTACAGTTGCAGTTTACAGTGTAGATGAATGTTTGCAAAGCAAAAAAATACTCATAAAAACTGTGTAATATGTGTTTAATCTCTATCTGTGTGAATATTCACTTTGATTTTTTGGAATTTGACTGCGAGAGAGCTAAAGAGAGAGAAAGGGGCAAGAGAGGAAGAAAGAGGAAGATGAAGGAAGAGAGAGGAAGAGAGAGGGAGGAGGAGGGAGGAAGAGAGAGGAGGTTAAATGGAGGTTGAGAGGAGAGGGTTTACAACCGTTTATGAATGGGGATACATAGGTGTGGCGGGTACAAGCGGCCGAAATGGGTTTTCTCAGAAAGGTGGCTGGCCTCTCCCTTAGGGATAGGGTGAGAAGCTCAGTCATCCGAGAGGAACTCGG